CACCAGATCTAAGTGGTGGCAATGGTCACCGTATCCACTGTTAGCGTAACACACCCGCTTAAGGACACTGACTGCTATTCAATCTATAACAGTGAAAAAAGTGTTTTTTGTTTTTAAATCCAAGCTTTGTGTCACCAGATCTAAGTGGTGGCAATGGTCACCGTATCCACTGTTAGCGTAACACACCCGCTTTAAGGACACTGACTGCTATTCATTATATAACAGTGAAAAAAGTTTTTTGTTTTTAAATCCAAGCTTTGTGTCACCAGATCCAAGTGGTGGCAATGGTCACCGTATCCACTGTTAGCGTAACACACCCGCTTTAAGGACACTGACTGCTATTCAATCTATAACAGTGAAAAAAGTGGTTTGTTTTTAAATCCAAGCTATTGTGACACCAGATCTAAGTGGTGGCACTGGTCACCGTATCCACTGTTAGCGTAACACACCCGCTTTAAGGACACTGACTGCTATTCAATATATAACAGTGAAAAAAGTGGTTGGTTTTTTTTAAATACAAGCTTTGTGTCACCAGATCTAAGTGGTGGCAATGGTCACTGTATCCACTGTTAGCGTAACACACCCGCTTTAAGGACACTGACCGCTATTCAATATATAACAGTGAAAAAAGTGTTTTGTTTTTTTAAATCCAAGCTTTGTGTCACCAGATCTAAGTGGTGGCAATGGTCACCGTATCCACTGTTAGCGTAACACACCCGCTTTAAGGACACTGACTGCTATTCAATATACAACAGTGAAAAAAGTGGTTGTTTTTTTTTAAATACAAGCTTTGTGTCACCAGATCTAAGTGGTGGCAATGGTCACCGTATCCACTGTTAGCGTAACACACCCGCTTTAAGGACACTGACTGCTATTCAATATATAACAGTGAAAAAAGTGGTTGTTTTTTTTTAAATCCAAGCTTTGTGTCACCAGATCTAAGTGGTGGCAATGGTCACCGTATCCACTGTTAGCGTAACACACCCGCTTTAAGGACACTGACTGCTATTCAATATATAACAGTGAAAAAAGTGGTTGCTTTTTTTTAAATACAAGCTTTGTGTCACCAGATCTAAGTGGTGGCAATGGTCACCGTATCCACTGTTAGCGTAACACACCCGCTTTAAGGACACTGACTGCTATTCAATCTATAACAGTGAAAAAAGTGGTTGTTTTTTAAATCCAAGCTATTGTGACACCAGATCTAATTGGTGGCACTGGTCACCGTATCCACTGTTAGCGTAACACACCCGCTTTAAGGACACTGACTGCTATTCAATCTATAACAGTGAAAAAAGTGATTTGTTTTTAAATACAAGCTATGTGTCACCAGATCTAAGTGGTGGCACTGGTCACCGTATCCACTGTTAGCGTAACACAACTAAGGACACTGACTGCTATTCAATCTATAACAGTGAAAAAAGTTTTTTGTTTTTAAATCCAAGCTATTGTGACACCAGATGTAAGTGGTGGCACTGACTGGGGAAATGGGCACAGTATGCACTGTGAGCCTGACACAGAAGCTGGCAGCAGTGGCAGACAACTAAGTGCAATTACATTACATAGAAAAAATAAATAAAAAAAAAAGCATACCCTTATCCCTAACCTAGCTATGCTTTTCCCTATCTTATGAACAGCAGCTACACTTTCCCTCCTCTTACTAAGCATGCATCTTGAGAATTAATCTAAAATGGATGCCTTCCAGGAGGTGGGAGGGTCTGCTAGGGAGGGTCTGCTGCTAATTGGCTGGAATGTGTCTGCTGACTGTGAGGTACAGGGTCAAAGTTTACTCAATGATGACGAATAGGGGGCGGCTCGAACCGCGCATATGTTCGCCCGCCGTGGCGAACGCGAACATGCTATGTTCGCCAGGAACCGTTCACGGGCGAACCGTTCGGTACATCACTATTACCTATACACAGAATCAGAAGTAGATAAAATATAAAGTTGATAAAATAAGGATCATGGTTACTTAATACTACAAAGATTGAGTTCAACAGTATTTCATAGATTCACTAGAATAAATATTTTGTTTATAAATCGAGGTGAAGTAAAACAAACAATGGTAACATAAGGAAGGATAATTTATATTGATTAATATTAAGTAATTACATACATTAAGAATGCCTTGGATATAAGAGTTCAGAGATCCAAGAGGAATTGAATTGAAGTTTAGTACAAAATTATATTTGAACCTAAGTCTATAAATGTATGGACTAGGGAGAATAGGATTCTGGATATGAGGGTATCCAATGAATTGAATACGTTGTTATAAGTTGTTTTATGATTACCCTGAGTTTGTTAGACACAGACTAGGAATAAGAGTTTCTGGGCAGTATGACCCCAAGTTTATTTTATTTTAGTCAGTTGAAGTGTACTAAGGAATATGTATTATACATATGTAATATACATTAGGACAATCCTGCTTTTAAGATGTATTACATTAATAAGTCATCACAATGCTAATGAAGAGAGTGATGCTAATTAATTTAAATTATTCTTTCCAAGTTCTTTTAAAGTAAACTATGTTTCTGTTGAATGAAAAGTTTGTTACTACAAGGTGGAATTTTAGTCAAAATTATAATTATGTAAACAAAAACAAATCTATGATAGAAAGATTTCTGGGTGGAGAATTTCTAGAACAATAAGTATTGTCAACACCATGAACATTATTTGAAGAATTATTATAAAACATCATGGTTGATAACAACACAACCTTTGAAGGTTTGCAAATTATTATGAGTCTTATAAGTATTGTTGATATATTTAAGTTAGTGAGAGCCTACTGAATATACAAATTAAATACTATGATTGTAAAGTACTGATACAATTAGGTGGTATTAATGGTATAGGAATGTAATTCATGAATACAAATGACCTAAAGATTTTAAGGTTGCTAGAAACCATATGATTCATGGAAATATAATTGGACAGGATATTATAGTAATACATGTATTAGTACTTAAGTAATATCAGGTATTGAGAATGAAAATACTATGCTATATGTATCTGTAGGAATATGATAGGGATACACAGTTATTATTTAGAAAGTTACAATCTTGATTTTGTTATCTACAAAGACATGACTGTAGCTGAGCAGGTTGATCTTTCTGATTGCTTTAAATTGTTTATTGGATCAACATTTGTAAATATTTTATTTTATTCATTTATTGTAATATATATATATATATATATATGTACATATTATGTTCAAGTAGTTATGGTGTAACATGGATATGGATATCAATACATAGCTGAAATAGAGGGAGTTTGAAGTAAAGTAAGCAGTATGAGGGATAGAAACTCGACCTTCCAAGAACTCTCATGTAATAGAAAGTTGTGACTACATCTTGTTCTATGTTCAATGACTGCGATATGAGTGATGTATGAATGGACAGGTTAGTGGCATTGTGTTATGGTTTTAAGACAAACCATAAACAGAGGGAATGTAGAATATTGCATATTCTATGTTTCTATTGATTATATATGGATGTGTGGATTGACATAAGGAACAGATGGTATAAGTCACAAGGCTTTCTTTGTTCGAGAGCTCTGGAATGTGGATTTGGGGGTTTTGTCCCTTATATGGCTAGAGGTAAAGTCATTATGGCACTTCTATATAGTAACTGAACAAAGTGACACAAGGTCTCTTGGATCTGTGCTCTCTCTGGCTCTGTCTTGGCTCTGGGCTCTCTCTGGATGTAAAGATGTAAGGATGTAAAGAAGTCCAGCAATTACCATCTGCTGTTGAATGTCCATTATCCTGTAACATCCTTTGTTGTTTTATTATGTATCCGTAGCTAAGAATAAACCTGAAGAAACGGTAAGTCAGATTGCGTATTAGTACTTTTCAATAATATAAACATATATTATTGTGGCAAGCATTTGGCCCAAGACTATATATACAAAAGACGTGTATATATATCTATATCATTCAACTGAAGACAGGAAGAAATTAAGAAGATTTAACGTTGCAACCAGATTTTACAACATCCAGGAGCCCTCGAAGGCACAGTTCCTAGGGCTCACTTAGTTGATACTTTACGTAATATCTGTAATTAGACTACAAGTGTTGCTCTCTCTCTATATATATTATTCTATATGGCTTTCTAATGAACACGCTGCAGGTCTTCTCTTATTTTATTTTTATTCTCACTTATCCACACTGCTCCCTCTTTGCATTTTTGACTATTTAGCTTTTTGCTTGCAGATATACTGCTGTCTTATGTGGATATTTGGAGGATGTTGCCTGCTTATTTAGACCATGTTTAGGCAATATTCCCCCCTAAACTAAGGTTTCGGTATCTATTTATTGTCTTGCTACACACGTGATAAGCAGTAGCTGTACCTGTTATTGTTACAGTTTTACAATTGTGTTTAATTGAATTCTTCGTTTAATCCTGAAGGAGTTCATGTCTGAAATGAATAAATCCATTTGGATTCTTTTTGTAATAAATATCTGTTGAAATTTCCTTTTCTTGGGTTCAGAGTGAGTTTTTCAATTGCCTGAAAATTCTGTATGTGTCTGGCTACTGGAGTGGGGGTAATGGCATTTGTTATAGAACCAACATGTTGGAGTATTCTGGAGTACACACGTGATATGCAGTAGCTGTACCTATTATTGTTACAGTTTGCTACTTTGTTCTATCATTTCCTATTGAGGGACTTTGACATATTGTTATTATCTAGTGTTAACCACATATCATGTGACTAGCAATGTAGACACCAGTGTTTCGATATTACTCGCAGTGGACTCTGATTATGGATTTTATCACTGCGTTAAGCTTATCATACAGCATTCCTTTTGTGAATTGTTTGCCAATTCCCTTCTCCCCTTTCCCCCCAGAGTTTTAGATTAATCGTACTTTTTAATCTTATCCAATAAAGGTTAATTTTTAATTCTTGATTCCAGTGACATTACTTGCATCATTGGGACAAATCACGCTCTCTCTTTTCCAGTTTAAGAGTTGTATATCAGGCAACCAGCAGTATGGAGTTCAGTGAAGCATTGACTGTATAGCTAATCGGCTCAATTCTGGGAAACCCAGCCTCTGATTGGCTGACTCAGCAACCATTTTACTTATGGATTAATTTAAACTGGCAGCCCTTCCTCTGGTAGTTACAGCTATATTTACAGTCGTTTGACAAGATGTTACATAGTTATATTGGCTGAAAAGAGACGTGTCTATCAAGTTAAGTCTCTCACACATCTGTTTTTGCTGTTGATCCAAACAAAGGCAAACCCCCAAAAAAAAAAACACCCAGTTTGAAGCACTTCCAATTTTGCAATAAACTAGGAAAAAGATTCCTTCTTGACCCAAGAAGGGCAGTCAGATTTATCCTTGGATTAAGAAGCTATTCTTCCAGGCTACGCATGACCTCATGGGCTTTAATGATAATGGCACTTAGACTGTTCTTTAATGAGTACCGGACATAATAAAAAAAAAATATATAAAATAATCAAAACTGATTAGTCAGCAGTAATGTGTGTAGTTTTTATTTTTTTGTTTTAGGCACAGCACATACAAATAATTTTAAGTCCTAAACCTGTATTTATTTTCTCTCTGCTAACACTGGATTATTTAGGATGCTTCTCTATTTTAGATCTAAGCTGACTTCATAGCGTGCATCCAAGAACACACATAGCTGATGACACCAAGCCTGGAAAAGACAAACACAGCATCTATATCAAGAGGTTTCAAGACTGGAGGAGAGAAGGAGCGGATGGGCCAGCACAATTTAAGAAGTTGTTTAAAATTTAATATACAGCTAGGAATATGAAAGACTACCTCTATTTTTTTCAGGACATCTTCCTTGTTGATGGGTTTAGTAACTTTTATCTTTTTAGCTTAAAGGAAGAAAAAAAAAATCAAAGTGAATAAACAAAATAAAAAAACCTCTTACAAATTAACACCACATAATGCTTTATATGCTTGTAGTATACACTGACCTGCCACAACATAAAAAAAAACACCTGCCTAATATTGTGTAGGTCCCCGTCGTGCTGCCAAATAGCTCTGATGCTTCGAGGCATGAATTCCACAAGACCTCTGAACATGTCCTGTGGTATCTGCCACCAAGACATTATCAGCATATCATTTAAGTCCTGCAAGTTTGTGATGTGTGGCCTTCATTGATCAGATTTGATGTTCCAGCACTCCTCACACATGCTCAATTGGATTGAAATGTGTGAAATTTGGAGATCAAGGCAACACCTTGAATGCTTTGTCATGTTCCTCAAACGATTCCTGAACAAGTTTTGCAGTGTAGCAAAGTGCATTATTCTGCTGAAAGTGGCCACTGCCATCAGGGAACACCACTGCCATAAAGGGGTGTAAGTTGTCTGCAACAATCTCTAGCTGGGAGGTACATGTCAAAGTAACATCTACATGAATGACAGGACCCAAGGATTCCCAACAGAACATTGCCCAAAGCACAACACTGAATCTGCTGGCATCTCTTTGCCTGGTAAACAACAAACATGCACCCGGCCATCCACCTGACCTAAAAGAAAAAGTGATTCATTAGACCAGGAAACCTTCCATTGCTGCATCGTCCAGGTGTGACTCTCACATCCCCATTGAAGGAACTTCAGTGGCGGACAGGGGTCATCATGGGCAATCTGACCGGTCTGCAGCTATGCAGGCCCATATGCAGAAATTGTGATGCATGGTGTGTTTGGACACATTTCTGTCAAGGCCAGCTTTAAGTTTTTCAGAGATTTAAGCTACAGGGTCTCTTCTGTGTGATCGGACCAAACAAGCTAGCCTTCACTTCCATCATGTATCAATGAGTCTAGGGTGTCCATGACCCTGACACCTGTTCATCAGTTGTCCTTTCTTGAACCACCTTTGGTAGGTACTAACCACTGCATATGTTTGGTAGGTACTATCCACTGCATACCCCACAAGACTTGCCATTTTAAAGAAGCTCTGACCAATGTTACTATAAGAGGCAGTCTGAAATTTATGACCGAGCAGTTACATGGCTGCCTCAGCCAAATTTTGGCTCAACTCCTTGTCAACCACATGTTTTGTGTGGTTTCTGGGTTATGTATTTTTTATTTTTATTTATTTTAGCTCATACTAGTTCATGTATCACTGCTTTATATAAAATAGTGTTCTGCACTGTAATGTAGATTTGTAATGCAAAGTTTAGTTACGTTTCTTTATTTTCATTTTCACAGCCTTCATTTCTCTCGGAAGTACTCGCCAATCTGTAAAAATATGAAATATTTATTTTAAACACGAGAAAATGCAAAATTAGTTTGTTAAGAAACACGCACGCAAGTAATTACCTGGGGTCCATTCCTTACTTAATTTTTCTTCTGCTTCGATATGGTACTTTGTACGATATTTTTCTACACCTAGAGCAAGATAAAAATTTATATTTGAACAAATAAAAGATATACATTGTCACAAAGTGCTCATCGGACCTTTATGTATGACCTGTCATATAGAATGCAACACGAGTTTGTTGCAGAAATGTGGGTCTCTGGCAATAATAACAGTGCAATGAAAATTACACCATGTAAAAGCTGAAATGATGTTTTTACCGATAACTTCCCTGAGCAACCAAAGTCTGAATGCGTTAGTGGATGTTATTCCCTTTTAAAACACCTTCTAGTAAACTACAGGATTTATGAATATGTCGACTTGAGTTCCATAGTATTTTCTTCATCTTATACTTTATTGTTAATTAAAAACAATGCCTATATTTGAATTATTTTACTTCCTTCTAACCGCACTGCATTTATTTGTAATTACCGTATATCATTATTTTATCAGCTAGCCATCATTGATGCATAGGTAGTCATATTTGACTCTATTCCTATTGAATGTCTCAACCAGTTCTGCTTTCACTCGGAAAACCTTGTTTTTCACAAAGAATAATCCGTTGTACACAGATCTTCAGCTCACAGCCAGAAGGACCATCTCTATTAAAGATGAGTAACCATAACTTTTACAGTCAACTTGAACTACTCATTTAGAATAAAAAACAAAGAAAGTTTAATAGAACCTATTGGCAGCTGAAACAAAAGACAATGGCGGCAGTGGCACACTATCTGCATAGATAGTAAACAATGGCATAGGTCTTAGCAAAAATTGAGTTTCAAAAAAAGAAAAAAAAAAAACACATCATCAGATAATGTCCCAAAGTTTAGCCATAGCTGTCCATGTCTTGACTGATCCAGTTAGCATTTCCCTAGTTGGGACGCTATTAGTAGAACTTCCCAAAGACTAAAATATCGCTTTCTCCATACACATTATATCCACCACAGAGAGGGGAGAGTATGGTTTGGGATGACAGCTGCACACAAGCTTGTACCCATTGATTTCTAGAAAAGTTTAACCCCTTAAGGACCAAACTTCTGGAATAAAAGGGAATCATGGCATGTCACACATGTCATGTGTCCTTAAGGGGTTAAGCAGACATTGAAATTTGTCTGTAAGAGAGGCTAAGGCCAGTTCTGTTGCCTTGAGGTCAGTAAAAAGTAAGTATAGTTAGGCCAAAGTCTTCTCCTATATCATGTCCTACAGCTCCACAGGTTGTGAAGACCATGTAGTGGGGAAACGTTCCCATATGCTTGCTGCCTTTGTGGGCAACGGTTGTAGGAGGGCAGCCATCTGCATTCTCAGCGGTCTGATTATCAGGCTCAGAGCCATAAATGTGGAAGTACGCATTATACTTCATTAAAAAAAATAAAAAATAAAAAAATCAAAGGAAAAAAACAAAAAAGAGAGATATCTTCCGTAGGATGAGAGGTCTTCTTTTTTCTTTGATTTGCATTTTTTATGAAGTATAATGTTTACGCCATTTTTTATTTTCTCGAATCCGGTCTCCGGGGTCTCCCACACACAGACTGCAGTTTATTTTGTCTTCTTTTTATGTAAGTGCTACTAATTATCCTACTATTCATTTTAATGATGCTGTCATTGATTATTAATTAGATGTTTTTGTTAGGGTTTACATATATACACCACTTGCTGATGTGATTTATTATGGCTTGAGAAAGGCCAAATTCCTATGCCTATTTCACTTCTAGAAAGTCCGCAAAATCGGATGTGTGTGTGCCAGGACATCTTTTTGTTATTTTGATTTACCATTAGGATTTAGTAGTCTCCTTAGTCTACAAAATCCTTTTTTTGATTGATAAATGCTAATATTTTATATTATTGAAATGCTTTTGCAAAGTATAAAGATTTATTTAACATGCAATTTGATGGTGAATAGACTTTTAATGATATTGAAAGTTTTTAAAGTACATACTTGGCTTCTCAATGCCTTCACCAATGTAGTGTGGCCGTCTTTTCATGTTTTCTCGCATTTCTTGCTTTAATGCCAGCATATAATTCATATCATCCCCACTGTGAAGCGGCAAAGGTCTGAACTCTACAGTCTAAAAATAAGATTACATAGACTCGTCATCCAGAAGGTTAATTTAACATTTAGATTTTCCATTATTACCAAAGTTCTGGATCAGATTTAACAGTGTCCATCACCCTACTGGAAAATTTTAAAGGGACACTGCAAGCACCATAACCACTACATCATGCTGTAGTGCATCAATAGTGGCTGCAGAAAGGCAGGGACCAGTGCTGTAGTGTAGTAGTTAGGGCTCGAGTGCACCATAACCACTACAACACCCTGTAGTGTTTATGGTACTTGGAGTGTTCTTTAATCTTAGATTTATAATAATATTGCCATGGCTAAAGGACCACTCTAGGCACCCAGACCACTTCAACTTAATGAAGTGGTCTGGGTGCCAGGTCCAGCTGGGGTTAACCCATTTTTTTATAAACTTACCAGTTTCAGAGAAACTGCTATGTTTATAAATGGGTTAATCCAGCCTCCAATTCCTCTAGCGGCTGTCTCATTGACAGCCGCTAGAGGCACTTGCGTGATTCTTACTGTGAAAATCACAGTGAGAAGACGCAAGCGTCCATAGGAAAGCATTGTAAATGCTTTCCTATGAGACCAACTGAATGCGCGCGCAGCTCCTGCCGCGCGTGCGCATTCAGCCGAAGGGGAGGAGAGGAGGAGGATCCGAGACGGAGAGCTCCCCGCCCAGCGCTGGAAAAAGGTAAGTTTAAACCCTTTCCTCTCCCCGGAGCCGGGCGGGAGGGGGTCTCTGAGGGTGGGGGCACCCTCAGGGCACTATAGTGCCAGGAAAACTAGTATGTTTTCCTGGCACTATAGTGGTCCTTTAAAGCTATCCCATTCGACTACTGTCTGTGTGTGCTTTCACGGTCTCCATATTATGTTTCCAATCATAATAAGCACTGTAGCACTTTGTTGTGGTCACATTACCAACAGTCTGTATCCACTATCCCCTGTAGGCGTGCAAAGCTTGTTGCATCATACCCAAAAAGACTTGAGGTTTCAACTAAGTACTGAAGTAAGGGTCTGAATACTTAAGTCAATGTGATATTTCATTTTTTTCTTCTTGATACATTTGCAAAGTTCAAAAAAATAAATCTGTCTTTTGCGGTGACCTTATAGAATATGGAGTGTAGATTTATGGAAAAAAAAAAACAATAGTTTAAACAAATGTAGCATAAGGCTCCAACATAAAAAATGTGAAAAAAAATGTATAATTTATATATATGAAAAATGAATTGATATATATACATATACACACACACACACACCATTTCTTTTATGCGAACAAATATTTGTGTGTTTCCAAAGACAAAAAAAATTAATTTGCTTACTGGAAATGTAGCTATAGGCTTTAGCTGACTCTCTGGCAGAGATTCTCCTCTTGAGAAGCCAATTGCTTGAAGATCAAATGTAAAAGATGCACCTCTCCCCCTTCCCCTTCCAGCCATGTCTGAAACATGAAGAATGTAAAGCAGGGCAACTACTACATGCAACACAGTAATTAATTTACTATTTCAATAAAAAAGCAAGGGGTTGCAGCAAAGCAATGATGACATAAATGCATGATAATTGGCTTGAACGACTAAAAACGCCAATAAAAATCACTATTGTGATTTAATTTCTAACACTTGCAGGCACAGAGTTAAATCAGCCATATATACATATATGTAGATATTATTAGCTATATATACATACATACATATTATTAGCCATATATACACATACGTGATATACATACTATTAGCCATATATCCATTTAGTGAATGAATCCCTAAACAGTGAATTGAAAAACTAATTGCAACATTGTGTCCAACATGTTTTTTTTAGCTAAAATTTAACAATTTGCTTTACCATTTCATTTACCACAATACACTGGTTAGTGATTAAGTCCTGAAACCTTCTCAAGCTTAAGGCTGAAGTGTTGTATAAATAATGAGTTTCTTATACTAGCATTTTACATACACATTGTTTTATTAAAATGTGATTTAAAGGGTTACTCCAACCCTTTTGCACTGTAATTCTTTTTAACAAATTTACAAAAAAAATTATGCTTTTAAAAGGAACACTATAAATTTCATGAACACAAACCTGACCCTATAGTGTTAAAAACACAACTTAGCCACCTGCCCCCCAGAAGGGTTTTTGGCTCTTTCTGCACCATGGTAGGCTTTGATTAAGGGAGACATAGTGCCAGGAAAACCACTGTTTTCTAGGCATTATAGATTCCCTTAAACAACACTCTGGACATCCTCATGCTTTGCATGAGGACACCCAGCGTCAGTGATAATCCAATAGGAAAGCATTGATTCAATGCTTTCCTATGATCAAGGCTTAATGTGATTGCATCGCTCGCCCCATATGCGCATTACGTCCCCCCCGGATGACATCGGAGGAGACAGAGTGCCAACCCAGCACCAAGGGACACCGGTGCTGGAATCGGGTAACTAAAGGGTTTTTAATCCTTTATGTGCAATGGGACCAGAGGGCACTATAATGTTATGAATACAACTGCAAAAATGACTGGAGAAAATGAGGTATGTTTCTCAATCTGTTTTGTGAATGGAGGGCTACTGACTGACTTAAAGCATCAGCTGATCGGTGTCATTGTATGAGGCTTCAATTTTTAAGAATCGAAGAGCAGCAGAAGGACAAGAGGCAAAGCTAAAAAAAAAAAAAAAACACTGGATACAAGGCGTGAATGGTTTAACCACTAAAAGTAAGCCAATACCAGGGACCTCCTGGCACTATAACAACTTAATTTCAATTGTGGTTTTATGGTACCCCTCAGAGTGTGCCTTTAAGAACCACTTCATACAGCCTTGCATGATGATCAGTGATTTGTGGTGGTGAATTAAAAGTGCTGCCCTCTACAGTATGTCAAATACATGTGCAGCTTGAAGGAAATAAGTTCATTATTGCAGAAAGATTCTAAAAAAAACTGCATTAAATTAAATTTTCTCCCTGCTGCATATTACATTCATATCACAGACACGAAGAGGTGATGTGTTTAGAAAAACACGCCTTAATGTGCCAATGGTATTTAAACAAATCCGTGTTTTTATTATATTCCCCATAACCACTCACAGGTTATAGAGCAGACCATCACTTCCTAAAAAGTTATCTAAATATATCTACTCTATTAAAAAAAAAATATTTATACTTAACATTGAAGAGGAATACAGGAAGAAAAAAAAAAAGTCAAAGTTTTCTGTATGACAAACAAATTAGGTTCCGAAAAATTGTTTCTTACCTGCATCTACAAACTTCTTCAGCACTCAAACAATACAGCTGATTCCCATTTACTCCTGATGACTTCGCTTCTAACCTAAATCTATGCAGGTGATTAAGCCACACTCTTGGTAATTGCAACTGACATTGGTTAAAGCAGCCCAGCCATGTATTTGTTCTAGTAACATTGCTATAACATAAAAAAATATTTTTTATTTTTTAAAGACAAACAGGGTTTTTCACTAACTTTATTTACTAATGTGAGAATTCAAATAATTTGAAATTAAATGCCAAAATAGCTGAATTAGAAAAAAATCTCTTAAAATTTGAAATTCTCACTTGTGAGAATAATCATGTAATTTGTAACCTCTAGGGAATTTAAAGTGAGGTTTAATTTTGGGCCACAACAGCTATTTTGGGCTAAAAATTCTAAGTTCACTTTGAATTCCTTAAAAATTAACACTTTTGGGAATAACCATTAAAAAAGTTAGTTTGGATTTAGAAAAAAAACAAACCACATTTTTAATGTGTTATATAGATATGGGATTAAAATGCTTTCCCCAAAATTAAGTTAATAAAGGTCACATACCCCTCCTACACCAGGATGAGACACTACAGTCATGAGCCAGTCATTCTAATCTATGGAGACTGATTTTATCCCATAAACTCTTGTCAAGCAAATGTTTAATTCCAGTGCACAGTGTGATTACAGCCGCTATTAGTTTATACACAGCCTGGTTCACGGTTTACTCTATGGAGCTGTGCTTTACTATCAGGAAAACCAAGGACTGTGCATGCGCAGTTTGTCCAGTGAGGAGAGACACCCTTTGTTATTCAGATTCAACTTTATCATCAGTGTACATACCAAGACAATGAAACACAATTGTTATTGTGTGTGTGTGGCACATGCAGCGTGTCCAAAAATAAACTGGCAGATTGTACGTGGACAAAATAAACTGGCAGATTGCACAAAACCTTATTGACAGCACTGTTAGTATGTTTTATAGCAGCAGCAATTTTTCAGATCATTGACACTACAACATAGGAGTGGGCTCAGGGTGTTGTAAAAAACATGGAGCTTAGACAGACTGTTTAAATCCCAATCACTGGTATTGGTATATATTTATATGAAGCAATACTGTAGTACGTTTCTGTAAATTGTATTATAAATTTCTGCTGATTATTCGCTATATTTGTTATTCTGTTCAGAGTGTCTGTCATTACTTATGCTTATGAGTCACAGCCAACTTATAAAAGATTTATGGAACAAAAACACGAAATAATAATGCATTAGGGTCTATGTCACCCTTTTACCGGAACGTTTATGGAAAATAAAGGCTATAGTAAAATTCGCACTATCGTGCAGGATGTGCCTATTAGAGAGCTAATTAATCAAACAGCACGGATGGTATTCCTATAAAAACAAGTTGCTCATTGTGGTTTCTAGTACCTGACGCATCATGTTTTCCTGGATACAAATCACTAGTACATGCTGATGTGTAATATTTAATATAAACTGGCAGGTTGCAAAAACACCTTAGCATGTAGAATTCACACGCTGCAAAGTACAAGTAACATTTTGAACCTATGCTTTTAATGCATTTTTATAGATAATTGCATTGATAAAAATTGCAAAATGTATATTAAAAAACGGACAAATTTAACTTTTAATGTATGACCATATAATACAGCCCTGCACTATATATGACCATATAATACAGCCCTGCACTGTGTGACCATATAATACAGCCCTGCACTGTGTGTGACCATATAATAGAGCCCTGCACTCTGTGTGTGACCATATAATACAGCCCTGCACTATGTGTGACCATATAATACAGCCCTGCACTGTGTGTGACCATATAATACAGCCCTGCACTATATGTGACCATATAATACAGCCCTGCACTGTGTGACCATATAATACAGCCCTGCACTCTGTGTGTGACCATATAATACAGCCCTGCACCCTGTGTGACCATATAATACAGCCCTGCACTATGTGTGACCATATAATACAACCCTGCACTATGTGTGACCATATAATACAGCCCTGCACTGTGTGTGACCATATAATACAGCCCTGCACTATGTGTGACTATATAATACAGCCCTGCACCCTGTATGACCATATAATACAGCCCTGTACTATGTGTTATAATATAATACAGCCCTGCACTGTGTGTATGACCATATAATACAGCCATGCACTGTGTGTGACCATATAATACAGCCCTGCACTCTGTGTGTGACCATATAATACAGCCCTGCACTGTGTGTGACCATATAATACAGCCCTGCACTATGTGTGACGATATAATACAGCCCTGCACTCTGTGTGACCATATAATACAGCCCTGCACTCTGTGTGTGACCATATAATACAGCCCTGCACTATGTATGACCATATAATACAGCCCTGCACTATGTGTGACTATATAATACAGCCCTGCACTGTGTGTATGACCATATAATACAGCCCTGCACTGTGTGTGACCATATAATACAACCCTGCACTATGTGTGACCATATAATACAGCCCTGCACTATGTGTGACCATATAATACAGCCCTGCACTGTGTGTATGACCATATAATACAGCCCTGCACTGTGTGTGACCATATAATACAACCCTGCACTATGTGTGACCATATAATACAGCCCTGCACTATGTGTGACCATATAATACAGCCCTGCACTGTGTGTATGACCATATAATACAGCCCTGCACTGTGTGTGACCATATAATACAGCCCTGCACTATGTGTGACTATATAATACAGCCCTGCACCCTGTGTGACCATATAATACAGCCCTGCACTGTGTGTGACCATATAATACAGCCCTGCACTCTGTGTGTGACCATATAATACAGCCCTGCACTGTGTGTGACCATATAATACAGCCCTGCACTGTGTGTGTGACCATATAATACAGCCCTGCACTGTGTGTGACCATATAATACAGCCCTGCACTGTGTGTGACCATATAATACAGCCCTGCACTGTGTGTGACCATATAATACAGCCCTGCACTGTGTGTGACCATATAATACAGCCCTGCACTGTGTGTGTGACCATATAATACAGCCCTGCACTGTGTGTGACCATATAATACGGCCCCTGCACTGTGTGTGTGACCATATAATACAGCCCTGCACTGTGTGTAACCGCTATAATACAGCCCTGCACTATGTGTGACCATATAATGGCCTGCACTCTGTGTGTGACCATATAACAGCCCTGCACTGTATTGTGACCTTATAATACAGCCCTGCTGGCCAGCTGACCCTTATAATACAACCCTGCACTATGTGTGACCATATAATACAGCCCCTGCACTGTGTGTGACCTTATAATACAGCCCTGCACTGTGTGGCTGACGCCTGGCCCAGCCCTGCACACCCTGTGACCATATAATACAAGCCTGCACTCCTGTGACCACTTACTCAGCCCACAGCCCCTGCACTGTGTGTGTGACCATATAATACAGCCCTGCACTGTGTGTAACCATATAATACCCAGCCCTGCACTATGTGTGACCGCCACTCAGCACAGCCTGCACTCTGTGGCTGACATATAATACAGCCCTGCACTGTGTGACCATATAATACAGCCCTGCACTATGTGTGACCATATAATACAGCCCTGCACTGTGTGTGTGACCATATAATACAGCCCTGCACTATGTGTGACCATATAATACAGCCCTGCACTATGTGTGACCATATAATACAGCCCTGCACTGTGTGTGTGACCATATAATACAGCCCTGCACTGTGTGTAACCATATAATACAGCCCTGCACTATGTGTGACCATATAATACAGCCCTGCACTCTGTGTGTGACCATATAATACAGCCCTGCACTGTGTGTGACCATATAATACAGCCCTGCACTGTGTGTGACCATATAATACAGCCCTGCACTGTGTGTGTGACCATATAATACAGCCCTGCACTGTGTGTGACCATATAATACAGCCCTGCACTGTGTGTGACCATATAATACAGCCCTGCACTGTGTGTGACCATATAATACAGCCCTGCACTAAAGCCTGCGGTCCGGAACAAACCTAGATTACTGTGGGAAATGACTTGGTTTGTAGTTTTCCTTGTGATGTTCATGTATCGTGTCCCTAGGGTGGGGTCTTGCGTTGCAATCTCTGTGGTCGAATCTCTGGATCGTTGGTAGTTGTTTTAGGTCTTTAAAGCTTAGTTGTGTCCTTGTTGTTTAGGGCAGCGGTTTCTTAGCTGGTGGTCATCGTCACATGCCTTGGGTCCCATCAGTGGGCCTGCTCTCGGTCTGGAACCTCCTTGGTGGTGTGTTTGGTCGTTTCTTCTACGTTTGGATGGGGTCTGACCTCTTTGCTTGTGGGTCATTTGTGTGCGTTGTGAGGGTTGTAGCGGCCCATACCAGTCTGGTATGTGTACGTCCGGTAGATTTAAGGCAGAGGTGAAGACCTGCACGTCCTCTGCGGAGGATAGAGTTGCTGTAATACCATTGTAACGGATCACCTGGCACCCCGACTGGGTACCTCCGTTGAAAGATGCTCCTAGCGCTTCCTGAGGACTCCAAGCACTGCAGCCGACACCACAATCACCGAACCAGAGAAGCGTATACCTTCTCTCAAGCACATGAATGCTGTAGACAGTTGAATAGGAACCATACGAATAGGTTTACTCTCCTAGCAGTCAAACTGGAACAGCATACAATAAATCCTTTCCCCAATAATGAGACGACACTTCACTTTGAGGGTTAAAACAGGAACTCTCTGTACTGGCACATACAGCCTCTTTTATTCACAATCCACAAAACATAGTACTGCCCACAGGGTTTTGCAGAACCACCAATAAACACATTACAACACATACAATGCAAGTACAGCAGCCAATCAGACACAATGGGACAATAGAAACACACCCAGCATATTCCTCCCTTCTGCTTAGGAGATAATTGAGTCAATTACTGTATCTACTCAATTATCTCCAAGCTGAAAAGTTACTTTTTGTACATTTTTATAACTTTGTAACTACATCAACATACATAAAACTTACATATTTCATAATCAATCCATTCAGGGGAACAACATATTCAAAAATGGCACAAATCAGACAAGGGGTTCAAAAGTTAGTAAAAAGTCCTTTGTGACTAAATGAAGCATGGCTTTCTGGCCCAAACCAGTTTCAGAGTCTTCTATCCTGGAGAGTAATTCAATTATCTCCCAGGACAGACACAAGACTCCATTAAGCACATGGTTGCAAAAAGACACAAAACACTTTAAAATACATAAAGTCACCTTTACACATAACACACAGACATTTCACATATCCCCAGATAGCTGGGATCTGAGTGCACATTATTAGATGAATGGCACTCAGATCACACAAATAAGCCTTTCTGCAGGGGAAATAAACGGTTTAACCTACAGGGCCATAGTCCAAAGGGAGCAGGCGAGCAACCAGGCTTCTCCAGTTCACAGTGGCGAGGTTGGTTTCGCCACACTTCTCCCCTTTACCAACTAGACTAACAGGGTATCTGACCTCCTGCCCGTCAGTGCCCTGGTTAGTCCAGCAACCCACCCACAAAACAGAAACAGCAGTACAGCCCACCCACAATAACTGGTTACTACACCTGGGTAGAGGAGAACTTTGTCCATGTCCAGGTGCCTCACCACGACTGTGTGGGCAACGGTTAGGCTGCCTTGGTGGGTTGCTGATTGGGCAGAGACCAGCGGTACTCTGCCCTGATGCCAGTGCTACCACGGAAGTAGCCTGGTGGGAGCCTGGTTGTGGGAGGGAGAGACCGACTGTCTCCCCTCTGGATACACCGCTCTGTGGCTGGGGAACAGGACCAACTGTCCCTGCCCCTTGTGCTGTAAGTGCAGAGACTACAGTCCCATCTGCACTGTTGGGGGGTGTAACATCTCCCCTTGCTGGGTTAGGCTGCCGCTGGAGAGAGGGTGTAACAAGCTCCTCTCTCTGAACTGTAAACTGCTGCTGGGGAGAGGGGGTATCAGGCTCCTCTCCCTGACACTCTCTCTGCTGGTGAAGAGGGGGACCAGCTGTCTCCCCTTTCATTATTTTGTCCTGTGGTTGGGGTGCGAGACTGACGGTCTCTGCTCCCTGCAGGACACTCTGCTGCTGGGGAGGAAGGACTGCACCTTCAGCTCCCTGGGGTACACACTGCCGCTGGGGAGGAAGGACTGCACCTTCAGCTCCCTGGGATACATACTGCCGCTGGAGATCTGGGCCGACCGCCCAGCATCCCTGTAGGGCCAGTAGAGAGACCGCCGTCCCATCTCCACCTGCCATCTGTGGGTCTTCCCAGGACCAGTCTGTGAGGTCCCTCAACATTTGCGAGTAAGGACCACCTGCTTCCGCACCTGGCAGCTCCGGCTGCTGCTGGGGATCTGGGCCGGTCCCATCTCCACCTGCCTGTTGTGGTTCCTCACAGGACCAGTCTATGAGGACCCCTACTTCGGGTTCCTGCGGCCGCCTCAGGGGGAGACGGCTAGCCTCCTCGGATGCAGCCTCTACTCGGCTGCTGTAACACTCCTTCAGCTGAGCATACTCTCTCTCTTTCGCCAGCCGGAATTCTCGGGCCAGCCTTGTGTTTCGCTCGGCCGTGACCTGGTTCCAGATCACCCGGCGTACCTCCATGGGTAAATCATCCCCATACTGGGCCACTCGCTGCCTCACCTCGGCCATCCAATCATTGCCAGAGCCTTCCATACTTGTCTGCTCCAAGTCGCTGGATACCTCTGCTCCCAGGGTCGCTGCACGTGTGCTAGCGTTGCCCTCAATTTGTAAATCCAAACGAACTGTGTCTCTGAGCTGCTTTACCTCGCACTAGGACGCCATCCCACCTCTGCCACCAATGTAACGGATCGCCTGGCACCCCGACTGGGTACCTCCGTTGAAAGATGCTCCTAGCGCTTCCTGAGGACTCCAAGCACTGCAGCAGACACCACAACCACCGAACCGGAGAAGCGTGTACCTTCTCTCAAGCATATGAATGCTGTAGACAGTTGAATAGGAACCATACGAATAGGTTTACTCTCCTAGCAGTCAAACTGGAACAGCATACAATAAATCCTTCCCCCAATAATGAGACGACACTTCACTTTGAGGGTTAAAACAGGAACTCCCTGTACTGTCACATACAGTCTCTTTTATTCCCAATCCACAAACATAGTACAGCCCACAGGGCGTTACAAAACAACCAATCACATCACAGTTACATCCCACATATTCCCTCCCCTTATCCTGAGAGGAAACTCAATTATACATACAGTTAAAACATACTTTCTACCCAACTTTCATAACTCCAAAACCATACATCACATTCACATAAAATTACATATTCACAATCAATCCATCCAGGGGAACAACATATTCAAAAATGGCACAAATCAGACAAGGGGTTCAAAAGTTAGTAAAAAGTCCTTTGTGACTAAATGAAGCATGGCTTTCTGGCCCAAACCAGTTTCAGAGTCTTCTATCCTGGAGATAAGTAATTCAATTATCTCCCAGGATAGACACAAGACTCCATTAAGCACATGGTTGCAAAAAGACACAAAACACTTTAAAATACATAAAGTCACCTTTACACATAACACACAGACATTTCACATATCCCCAGATAGCTGGGATCTGAGTGCACATTATTAGATGAATGGCACTCAGATCACACAAATAAGCCTTTCTGCAGGGGAAATAAACGGTTTAACCTGCAGGGCCATAGTCCAAAGGGAGCAGGCGAGCAACCAGGCTTCTCCAGTTCACAGTGGCGAGGTTGGTTTCGCCACAGTGTGTGACCATATAATACAGCCCTGCACTGTGTGTGACCATATGAACATTAAGGGGTTAACCCTCTCTCTGCTCTGGCTGGTGTTTGTTTACATTCTCATAGTAGGCGGGTTCTAGTGGGAAAACCGTTGGCTTTCACGGTGATGGCATTCCCATTGGTCGGTGAGGTGATGACGCGCGGTGATCTGCCCTCCTATTGGTCAGTGAGGTGATGACGCGTTCCGTGCTGCCCTCCCATTGGCTGAGGCGGGCTGTGAAGCCACGCTCGGCTGTCAGTAGTGTGGGCGCTGCCCGAGGTGCTGACAGGGAGTGTACGGCCCGCTATGGCCGCGCTGGACTGGTACGCTCACAAGGCGCTCGGCGACGGCATCTACTGGATCCAGGAGCGCTTCTACGAGTCCGGGAACCGGGCCAACATCTGGCTGGTGCGCGGCTCCCACCAGGACCTGGTCATCGACACCGGGCTGGGGCTGCGCAGTCTGCCGGACTACCTCACCTCGTCTGGACTACTCCCGCACGGGCCGGCCGGGGGCGCCGGGCGCAGGCCTCTCATGGCCCTGGCCACCCACGTGCACTTCGACCACGCCGGCGGCCTGCACCAGTTCGAGCAGGTGGCCGTGCACCGGCGGGAGGCCGAGGCCCTGATCCGGGGGGACAACTTCGAGACGGTGACCTGGCTGTCGGACAGCGAGGTGGTGAAGGCCCCGAGCCCGGGCTGGACTGCCAGCCAGTACAAAGTGCAAGCCGTGAAACCCACTCACATCCTGGAAGATGGTAAATGGCCACTGCTAGTCCTGGGGGGGCGAACACCTGGGGAGTTAACTGGCCCCCCATAGTAAACCACCCCTGGACTCAACATGATGGGCAGCACAGGGAAGGGGATCTAGTATATAGCGTTCATATCCTGCCAAAGGGGGACCAGTGGTGTAATCAAGACAGGTTCTCTCATTGAATAGAGCCGGTGGGGTAATCAAAGCAGGTTCCCTCATTGAATAGAGCCGGTGGGGTAATCAAGGCAGGTTCTCTCATTGAATAGAGCCGATGGAGTAATCAAGGCAGGTTCCATCATTGAATAGAGCCAGTGGAGTAATCAAGGCAGGTTCTCTCATTGAATAGAGCCGGTGGGGTAATCAAAGCAGGTTCCCTCATTGAATAGAGCCGGTGGGGTAATCAAAGCAGGTTCCCTCATTGAATAGAGCCGGTGGGGTAATCAAGGCAGGTTCTCTCATTGAATAGAGCCGATGGAGTAATCAAGGCAGGTTCCATCATTGAATAGAGCCAGTGGAGTAATCAAGGCAGGTTCTCTCATTGAATAGAGCCGGTGGGGTAATCAAAGCAGGTTCCCTCATTGAATAGAGCCGGTGGGGTAATCAAAGCAGGTTCCCTCATTGAATAGAGCCGGTGGGGTAATCAAGGCAGGTTCTCTCATTGAATAGAGCCGATGGAGTAATCAAGGCAGGTTCCATCATTGAATAGAGCCAGTGGAGTAATCAAGGCAGGTTCTCTCATTGAATAGAGCCGGTGGAGTAATCAAGGCAGGTTCTCCCATTGAATAGAGCCAGTGGGGTAATCAAGGCAGGTTCTCTGTTTTGAATAGAGCCAGTGGGGTAATCAAGGCAGGTTCTCTGATTTGAATAGAGCCAGTGGAGTAATCAAGGCAGGTTCTCTCATTGAATAGAGCCAGTGGAGTAACCAAGGCAGGTTCCCTCATTGAATAGAGCCAGTGGAGTAATCAAGGCAGGTTCTCATTGAATAGAGCCAGTGGGGTAATCAAGGCAGGTTCTCTGATTTGAATAGAGCCAGTGGGGTAATCAAGGCAGGTTCTCTGATTTGAATAGAGCCAGTGGGGTAATCAAGGCAGGTTCTCTGATTTGAATAGAGCCAGTGGGGTAATCAAGGCAGGTTCTCTGATTTGAATAGAGCCAGTGGGGTAATCAAGGCAGGTTCTCTGATTTGAATAGAGCCAGTGGTGTAATCAAGGCAGGTTCTCTCATTGAATAGTGTTATAGTTCTACATAGTAAAGGCAGCATAATGTAAAGCCAGGTTACTATGGAGGATCTCTGGGTACAAGCAGATATTTATCCTGGGCAGTATGTGGTTAAAACACAGACTATGTATTTTTAGGTGCACTGGATGTATAGGGCAGTAGGTATTTCAATCTGCAGTACTCAGTGAATGCATTGAATGTACCAACCTAGAGTACTTACTGAATGCATTGGATATACAAGCCATAACTTTGCTCTTGCTGTACAGGGCATTGGGTAGGGGTGTGAATAGCATCCATTCGCTTAATAGAGCTCTGGATATATCAGTCCACTTGCTCTATATAGCACTGGGGTATACCTCCTGCACTACCTGCTATATGTTCAGCACTTTGGGTATAACAGCTGGCACTTACCTCTTGCTTTACTGCACCTCGGGTTTGCATACCATGGAGTTTAAAAATCAGCACTACTCAGGATGTAAACTGAAGCTTGCATTGTGCACTTCACATCTGCACCTAGTGAGGGAATACTTTAGTTTTATCGTGTTGATGGTTGAAATCTTACTCCATATGGTGTTGTCTAAATGTTGTAATGCTCAGTCAGTCTTTAGAATCATAGGGAATAGAACACGATAGTGTACGTTAAACATCACCGTAGGCTAACCCAGCCCTTTTAATAAAAGGTGGGAAGGACAATTTTGTGGTGAGATTACTTGACAGTGTTAAAGTAGAAATATGCTTTAAATCTGAACTATTGAGTGGTTTGTTGTGAGGGATTTGTAAGGGAGATTAGAGATAAAGAAGGCTCTGCTCATACAAGCTTACAATATGGGTATTTGAGGTAGGCAGATATTTCATTAGGTGTCTTGTCCAAGGACATTTATTGGTAAAAAGATCTGACTGGGATGTGACTGTCACTTAAGTAAGCATCATCAAGAATTAAATTTAATTGTCAAAACATGCCTTTACCAATGCTTACAGAGGTGCATGGGATTTTAATCGACGTCTGATCTTAATGGCATATCTGTCAGACATTGGGAAGTGTCAAGGCTACTCGAAAAAAGACTCTTTTTTTTAACTTGTTAATTGTAGGCAAAGGGGAAATGCATACTATGTCATAGATAGAGGGCAAACACTCAGTAGTCACGTGAAGCTGTGTAAATTTGGCTCCCCATATTTCTAAAAGGTAAATAAAATTTGTGCCGCAAAAATTAATATTTGTGCCACTCTGGTTTCAGAAATATTGCGCATTAGATTTGCTCAAACCGCGCCTACTTTGCAACTCATGTTATTAAATTTTAAAAACATTTTCTTTCTGCTGATTTGTGCCGTATCAGGAACATTTGTGCTTCTTTGGTGTCAGAGATATTGTATACTATATTTGATCAAACCCAGACTATTTAGCAAACCATGTTATTAAAATGTGAGTACAACATAATCATTCAGGATTTTAAGTGGTTATGGTGCTAGGAGCCTTTGTGTGTAGAATTTCGCTATTTAATAACTTAGGGTTATCTTCAAAACCAAAGCAGCACAAATATTTGTTTTTGCAGCACAATGAAATGGTGTATTTATTTTTAAAATGTAATAGCGTGGGCGTTGTTTGATAAAAATGTAATGCACAAATCATTACAAAAGCAACACGGACAAATTGTGTATTTGTTTTTAAAATGTAATAACATGGAGTGGAAAGTGGGCGGTGTTTAAGCAAATCTAATGCGCAATATCTCCGAAACAAAAGCGGTCCGACGTTTCATTTTTGTGGCACAATTTAACACAATGGTAATTTTATTCACCTAGAAATATGGGGAGCCAACTTCACACAGTTGTGAATTGAGATCACCATAATGAAGTTATGTAATTTATTTTCTTGTTTATTTAATTATCTGAAAAAGGTGTTGAATACCATTACCAATGAGGTAGTTTGAAACCACATTTTCCATTTCTTATTTATAGGCCCCTTTAAATCTAATTTATTGTGTGTAGTATAATACAGCTTTCTGTCCTTCCTTCCAAGGCAACCATTATTTAGGAAGAATTACAAATATGATTACCTTTTCAACATCACTTTATGCTGCATTCAATTTCATGTTTTATTGAGCAGTGTTCACGTTTCTTTTACTCATGTTTTTTTTTGTTTTTTAAATTAGGCAGTGCACGTACTAAACTATTTTATGTTCTCAATTACATTTAGCACTAATAGTAATAAATTATTCAAATAGTGAGTAGTCCATAAATTGCACAAATATATTTATAAACTAAAACTGTGTGTGTGCTTGTTGGCTTGATACTCTGAATATAAATAGTAAAATGTTCTTTTAAAATGTTGTTTCGTACAAATTATATTTTGTTGGACATGTGTTGTGTATTTTGTAGCACAACTGTATGCAGTGTTTTTATTTCTAGGATAAAATATCTATTACTGTGTCTGTTCAGATGCAGTTCATTTTTGCAACTATACTTTGTTTCTCATTTACAGCTGGTAAGTACATGCCTCCTATTATAGAGACTCATCAGGCTGGTATTGCAAAATATATATAATCAAGGCAGGTGCTCTCATTGAATAGTGCAATAGTTCTGCATAGTAAAGGCAGCATAATGTAAAGCCAGGTTACTATCTGAGATCTCTGGGTGTGTGTGTATATGTATGTGTATAGTTGAAACATTTCTGATGTGTGTCTCTGTATAGTACATGGAAGGTGTGTCTGTGAACTGCATGGTGTGTGAATGTGTGCCCCGCATCTGCAATAGCCTCCCAATATTTTCTCACAAATTATTATATTTTTTTTTTTTAAGTCCACCCAGCCTACTTTTCCCTGGGGTCCAGTGTGGTTGCTGAAATCTTCAAGCTCTGCTCCCTTGCGCGCAGTTAAGTGATTTCATCCCGGCTCTAGGCATCATAGCAGGGCGCGCAAGGGATCAGAGCAGAAGGATTACAGCAGAAGGATTTTGCCACTGCAGGGGGCTGATTCACAGTCGCTGAACAAACTGGCAAACACCAAGGCACCAGGACAAAATTCCTAGTCACCATGGAGACCTGGCACCTAAAATTTGTCAAACCCTGATTTTAATGACTTCATAATTTTACATGCATTACTTTGAGAGCTACACACAGCTCATCGGTCAGCATGGGGGTGGGATATTAATTGAAAACTGTCACTGCTGGTAAAAATACGCACAACAATTATTCCGTTATGGGTCCTTAAAGATACAACAATCACAACGGAATAATTCTGTCATGTGTCCTTAAGGGGCGAATTGTACAGGGATGGGAATTATTTTGGTGCTTAAATACAAAAAAAAATGCTACTTTACTGTGACGTGTTAGCAGGCCAGTGGCAGAACTTATGTAGAGAGGGTCCTGGTGCAAGAAAAAAATTTTGGCCCCTCTAGCGCAAGTATGGTAAAAATATAGTTTCCCATCTGTTGTACAATTCACACAATGCTATGTCAGCTGGGGATCTACCGTTTGCCCTTCCTTGCAGGGTTGTATTTGTGAGCAGTGTATGTGCATTTGAATGTAAGTGTATGTGACGAAGTGCCCTTCGCCACTTGTGCCTGGAGAGGACTGCTTGCCCGCCTCTTGCCCTGTGACTATGGCCCCTGGGATGTATTGCCCTTTAAAGACATGATTTGGGCATAATGGATTTGTGTTGTGCTGCTGCTGGCCCTTTAAGAACCATCTGGGGACATACTGTGGAGTTACTGGGTGGCCACCATTTCCTGTATCAGAAGCACATGGTGAGAACAATGGATGGCGGCCATTTTAACTCACAGACACTGTTTGGACTTTTCAACACGGTGCCATCTCGCCAGTATTTGGTGCACAGAGACATCGTGCAGTGGTTTTGGACTATACAGCAGGGGACACATTATAAAGTGATTGTTTTTCATTTAGCCTGTATATGTTCTGCAGAATCTGCATTAAACTGTATTTTCCAAAGTACTGAACGGATCTGGGTGAATTTTGGATATGTGGTTCACCCAGATCCCCCGGTTCCAAGGATATACTTTATGGGGTTATTGCATGTTTTGGGGTCCCTGTGTGTTTTATGAAACTGTATAATTTCTGGCCAGCAGATAATTGAGCTTTGTGTATTGTAGAAACTCAATTATCTAGCCTGGCCCAGAGGAGGAGTTTTGTGTTGCATAAATTGTGAGTTCTGTGTGCCAGTAAGTCAGTCTTGTTCCAGCATTAAGCCTTGGCTCATGTTTGGGGGAAGGGATACCTACACTCTGGGGATTGCTATAATCACTATACTCCCCAGGGTATGATCACTAAGTTCTGCTAAGAGCTTGTACCTGTTCCTGCTCTCTGGGGAAAGAGAGGTTCACCCACTGGAAGCTGGATCCTGGCCCTGGGTCCAGGGTGGGTGGAGACAGCAGAGACCCCGGCGCAGTTGCATTGCTGGAAGTGGGGTCAGCAGTGCTGATGGTGTCGGTTGGAGTCCTCAGCGAGCACTAGGAGCATCGATTGGCGGAGGTACTCAGTCGGAATGCCAGCGTTCCGTCACAGTGTATTTCCGTATAGAGTGTGTGTGTGTGCAGATAGAGGTGTCTTTTGTATGTACTGTTGCCATTGGAACATAGTCGTGTAGTGTTTGCAATTGATTTCCATGTTTGTGTTTCTATGTAATGTGTGCTTTTGTGTGTAGAGTTGGTGTTTGTATATAATTTTAGCATTTTAATACAGGGGGTGTGTTTGTATTTAATGATTGCATTTGCGTGCAGGGGTGTTTGGATGTAGTGTATTTTAAATGCCAGATGGGCGCAACAGCTGATCGGCAGACGGCCAGGGTAAGTACAGGGAGTTAACACCAGGAGCCAAAATACTCTCACGTTTTGGGGGTGCGGTTACAACAAACATGCCTTAAACATATAAAAGCACGTTTAGACCGATACACCCTGCCCTGCTGTGGTTCCTAGTGTCCCTATAGAGCGTACTGTTGTCTGTATTTTTTTTTTTTTGTCTATTCTGGTATTGACCTGGCTTTGTTCTGATTGCTCTGTTTCTCGTGTTTCCTTGACTCAACTCTGGCTCTTGTTCCTGTTCCTTGTTTTCTGGGTTCCTTTGACCTTGGCTTGTTCTGACGTTCCAATTATCCTTTTATTTTACTTTCAATCTGGCCATGCTAAGGACCATCATAGTTTCCTTTAACTGTCTATATTATTTCAGGTGGATTTATATTCTGTGTATTAGGTATAATGTTACAAACACACACACACACTTAGATTTGCAGCCACCCTCCTACCTTTTATCTGCAGGAGGGTGACTTTTTTATTTTGGGTTGCCGCTGGCTGAGGCTGATGTGGGTCTGCAGGAGCTCACTGCCCAGTGTTGCCTCCTCCCGCCCACATGTGCTGTTCAGTTCCTTCACAAAACTGACCTGGGTTGTTTATAAACTGAAACCAGCTTCCGCTATACATGAATTAACGGAATATGATCAGACCGCATAAAAGAATGAGAGACTCCAGAACTGGTGGCACCTCTTTCTAGCAAGAAAGCAGTAGTTTGTCTGTAGCCACAGGCAGATTCTGTCATTTGTACAGAAATTATGCGTTCCTTTTTTTGTTTTGTGTTATGCATTAAGTTTATTTGTTTTTCTGTAAATGCTTCTTTAACTGCTTGTCTGCAACGTATCAATATTTATTTATAAAATATTTTACCAGGAAGGATACATTGAGATTCTCTCGGTTTCAAGTATATCATGGGCCCACAAACACTGCATTGTTACAGTAAGGTATAATATTACAAAATAATACTATATTTATAATTTAACACATAATAGGTAATAAATCTAGTCAGCTATGACCGGTGCATTCTGTATTGAGGTATGTGGCCATAGATCTCTTAAAAGATTTTAGATTGAATGAAGAGTTGACTGTGTCCGTAAGGTTGTTCCATAATTGCAGTGCTCTGTAGGAAATGAGCATGGAGCCACTTTATTTTTGTATTGCGGTATGCTAAATAAAGTGCTGGTACTTGATCAAAGGTTATAGGAAGGGGGAACAGCTGGGGGGAGCATTCTACTCAGGTAGGGTGGGAGCTTCCCAGAAATGCTCTTATGCACAAAGCTGGAAAGATGAAGAGTGCGTTGGAATTCCAGCAATAACCAGTTTAGCTCTTAACATGTCACAATGGTGGGTCAAGTAATTACATTCTGGTACAAATTATACAATGTATTAACTCCTTAAGGACACATGATGGAAATATTCTGTCATGATTTCCTTTTATTTCAGTAGTTGTGTCCTTAAGGGGTTAAGTTTATGATGGTGGGTTTGCAGGGCAGGTGCATACATTGCATCCCCATAATCAATGACCGGCATTAGCATTTGTTGCACTATCTGTTTCCTTATTGTAGGGCTTAGGAAGGATTCGTTTCTGTACAGGGCACCTAGTTTTGGATAACGTTTTGAAGATTTTTTTTCAATGTGAAGGCTAAAGGATAGATTAAGGCCTAGCAACATACCTAGATATTTGGAAGAACAGACTGCAGTTAGTGTGCTATTTGAATTTGTTCTTATACATAGTTGTTGGTTTTTGTAGTTTATGTATTTTATATACTGTTCCAAAGATCATTGTGATTGGTTTGTTTAGTTTGCATTCTAATATTCCAAATTACAGTGAGGGAAATAAGTATTTGATCCCCTGCTCATTTTGAACATTTGCCCACTGACAAATGATCAGTCTATAATTTTAATGGTAGGTGTATTTTAACAGTGAGAGACAGAATAACCCCCAAAATATCCAGAAAAATGCATGTCAAAAAAGTTATAAATTGATTTGCATGTCAATTAGTGAAATAAGTATTTAACCCCTTCGACTTAATACTTGATGACAAATCCCTTGTTGGCAATCACAGAGGTCAGACATTTCTTGTAGTTGGCCACCAGGTTTGCACACATCTCAGGAGGGATTTTGTCCCACTCCTCTTTGCAAAACCTCTCCAAGTCATTAAGATTTTGAGGCTGACGTTTGGCAACTCGAATCTTCAGCTCCATCCACAGATTTTCTATTGGATTAAGGTGTGGAGACTGGCTAGGCCACTCGTTTGTTGCCTTGGCTGGGTTTTGGGTCATTGTCATGCTGGAACAACCCATTTTCAATGCTCTAGCTGAGGGAAGGAGGTTCTCACCCAAGATTTGATGGTACATGGCCCCGTCCATCGTCCCTTTGATGCGGTGCAGTTGTCCTGTCCCCTTAGCAGAAAAACACCACTAATCTCAGCTCGTTACCTGTGTAAAAGACACGTGGGAGCCAGAAATCTTGCTGATCAAATACTTATTTCATTCATTGACATGCAAATCAATTTATAACTTTGACTTTTTTTTTTTTTCTGGATTTTTTTTTTTTTTGTAATTCTGTCTCTCACTGTTAAACCTACCATTAAAATTATAGACTGATCATCTTTGTCAGTGGGCAAATGTTAAAAATCAGCAGGGGATCAAATACTCTTTTTCCCTCACTGTATCTTTAACAGTAACACGCATGCATATAATCCTCGATATTGCAGCTTTTGAGGCAATGCGGATATCTGATAAAATGACCGGACTAAATGTAGCATGTTCCTCAATATGTGGAATATGAGTAGATGTTAGTTTAGTGATATCTTGATCTAGGAAAGCCTATGTTATATTTAAATCAATATACCCCTGAAGTGTGCCTTTTTTTTCCCCCCCTTAGATTTAAATAGTATAGGCTGAGAATGAATGAATGAATGGAGTTTGGATCAACATTTAAGTTGATTTGTGATATGGTCCCAGATTATAGGTCAGCTGACTTCTTTCAGCAAATGAATGGCAAAGTGCGCAAAAAAAAAAACACATGAGCTGGCTGGTGTTGCTGCTGGCAGCCAATTGATTAAACTCAGGGCAAAATATTTTATTTTTATACATACACCCAATAGAGAATTGTACACTGACAAAGCCTGTAATTAAATACTCCCTTGAATCAAAATTAGAGGTTTGGGAGAGGCTGGAAGAGTGACTTGCAGATCATCCTTTCATTGTGTTTTTGTTTTTTAATGTATGGTGCTGTGACTACAATGCTTGTATGTTTCCATTTTGTTCCAGCAAAATACACAAGTATCAAAATTAAACCGGTGCTGTGTTGAGGTCTAGCTAAACACTAGTAAACCTTCTACTCACTCCTTCCTGTACATTAAATGAATGCTTCAAACACATTATGGCACCCCATTATAAGTAGTCAATCTTTAGTACGGTTTCACTTCCTGCTCCCTACCTGCTAACAACGAACATCTGGAAGCTCCTAAGTTGGTGTCAGTTGACGCTCTCTGCCATGAATTAGGGTCTGCACCGCTGGACTTGGCTCAGAGACCTTATGGCTCTCTGTTGGAAGTAGTGCATGCAGGGAGTGGAACCCTTTTTTATTTTTATTTTTCTTCGAGATCTTATTTTTGCATAGGCATGAAATTCTTTAAAAAGTCCATCATATGGAGGGGGGCCTGACCGCTGAGCCGAGAGGACGCTAACTTGTGCAGCGCTTGCTCCACAGTGCGAATTAAGTGGATTTCAGCCACAAAAACAGGACCTAACCTACTCAAAAAGGCCACCAGGCGAGAGGTGACAGAGGTGCACACAATGGTACCAAACAAGTGACATTTTAAGCAACACTCACTCTTGCGAGGCCTACACGCGTGGTCAGCATGTGGGAGACTGCCAATCCCCTGCTGACATCCATGGCTGGAAGAAGGTTACGAGACCCACGTTTCTTCCCTCCCCGGTGGGGGTCATCCTGGTCCAAACTATGGAGACCTCGTCACAACCTGTCGAGAGCGCTGCTCTCAAAATGGCGACGGCAGCATGCTCCTTAAGCCCTGAATGCGAGAAGTCCAAGGTGGAGCTCCGGCTGGACAAAGCATTTCAAACTTTTTGGGAGAAACTGGAAGCACTTCTGCACCCAATAGTCTATGAGAACAAGCCTGGTACCATACCACGTAATCCCTTTCACATAGCCGAACGGAAGACCGCAACAACGCCTCTGGCACCGGCCCGCCTGGGAAGATATAGCCGACGGGAGACCATCACAAGCCAGGCGACTAGGTATATTTCAAGAGGTAGCAGGTGCAGGACGGCAGTCCCCTGGATCCTGCAAGTACCCTCTCCCTCCAACCTGGCAACGAGTGTCCATCTTCAAGTGGACTGACTAACCCGAGCTGCTGCCCATCTGTGCAGGTCTGTACTCTGCCCACACAAGGTGTAGGCTGACCAGCAACATAGGAGAGCGTCTTGCACTGCCTGAATATGCCACAAGCGTGTATATTACGCTTTGCACAACAAAAAATAGAGCATTAAATAAAAAGGCCATCATATAAATGGTTCTTTCCTATCGGAAAACCTGAGTTTCCTTTAACCTTTCAGAAGAGTATTATCACAGTCATACTCAACAATGTGCACAAATGGTTAATAATAGAAAGCTGTAGATGTAGTAGTTGCATTAATGAGGCAGTCTTGGGATTTGGGGCTTAGATATTGCTTTTAAACATTTGACACCAACATCATCAAAAAGGGAGAATGTATTATGCATGTGTGGTGTTCAGTGGAAAACTGTGCATATCTCATCAGGAGCCATAATTACTCTCGTGACTCAAAACAATGAGCATCAAAGAGTTTCCTGGAAGCTGAAATTGTTTGTAACAGTTTCATCATTGATCGCCTAATGCTCATATTACAGTATGCTTTATGCATTTGTTTGGCAGCAAAATGTCCTGTGCTATTATAGAATGAGTAAGAGAATGGGAAAAAAAATAAAATTTGAAGGAACATTCTAAGCACCATAAACACATTAATTTGATTGATTATGGCGCTAGGTTGCTACCCTTAAAATACATCTGTCAAATTTTTGCTGGTTTTTATCTTTGGCACCAGAGCTGAAAGTACCTTTGCACTGACTTCAAGTGGTGATGTAGTGAGCCAACCAATATTTCTACAGTACGAGCACACAAAGCCTGTTCTTACATTCAAATTAGTTCTTGACTTCTAGCACTGTTCCTAAAAAAAGGAGACTGAGTTAAAGGGACACTATAGCCACTGTTACTGCTTCATCCCATTGAGATAAATGTAGAGTCTGGCATCCTTTTGGCATCGTCCTCCCAGTCAGTTTTAAGGTGTCTTTAATGCTAAATGGGTCTCCAAGATCCCTATCCCTTCTTTGCTATTTGGCTTAATGGGGAAGCATTAGCCTGAGCAGGAATGGGTGGCTGTGATTGGCTGAGAGTGTCAGCCGACTGCTTTTGGCCTATCACAGCACCCATTGCTGGTAGGATTTGGTATGGCTAGAAGGAAGTGTGAAATCTCTTCCTTAGCCACACCTCCAGTAGTGGCAGGGTTGTGGGTTTAGTGTTAAAGGACCACTCTAGGCACCCAGACCACTTCAGCTTAATGAAGTGGTCTGGGTGCCAGGTCCTTCTAGGGTTAACCCATTTTTTTTATAAACATAGCAGTTTCTCTGAAACTGCTATGTTTATGAATGGGTTAAGCCTCCCCCCTAATCCTCTAGTGGCTGTCTCATTGACAGCCACTAGAGGCGCTTGCGTGCTTCTCACTGTGATTTTCACAGTGAGAGCATGCAAGCGTCCATAGGAAAGCATTGTAAATGCTTTCCTATGCGACGGGCTGAATGCGCGCGCAGCTCTTGCCGCGCGTGCGCATTCAGCCCAGGAGGAGAGCTCCCCGCCCAGCGCTGGAAAAAGGTAAGTTTAATCCCCTTTCCAGAGCCGGGTGGGAGGGGGACCCTGAGGGTGGGGGCACCCTCAGGGCACTATAGTGCCAGGAAAACGAGTATGTTTTCCTGGCACTATAGTGGTCCTTTAAGCTGCTTGAAAATGATTTAACACTGGGTGGGGGGACAATGCCAGAGGACTCCATGCACTATAACAAATTAATTGAGATGAAATGGTTATAGTGCCTACAGTGTCCTTTTACATAGTGTGTGGTTACAAAAATTAATGGTAAAGTCAAGGCAGAGCAGCTATAAATTAAAGGGAAACTATAGTCATGCAGTATCCCAGTCCCACTTAGTCCTGCAATATACCGTATTTTTCGCTTCATAAGACGCACTTTTTTCCCCCTCAAAGCGAGGGGAAATGTCTGTGCGTCTTATGGAGCAAATGTGAAGCTTTACTTACCTGTATTGTGGCGTGGGCCAGCAGCACGGCGTGCTCCGCGGTACAGGAACTTCAGTTTCAGGTTCCTGTTTCCGGTGTGACTGAAAGGAAGTGCACACTCCATGTGCACACTTCCTTTCAGTCCCGCCGGAAACCGGAACCTGAAATTGAAGTTCCTGTACCGCAGTGCGAGCTGTTAAGCTGGCCCACGCTACAATACAGGTAAGTAATTATGGGACACTATGGGACAAGGAGAGGGGGGGACACTATGGGATGAGAACACTATTGGACAAGGGAGGAGGGGTTAAAGAACACTATGGGACAGGGGAGGAGGGGTTAACAATCATTATGGGACAGGAGAGGGGAGTGGGTGGTAAGGAACACTATGGGACAGGGGAGGAAAGAAAAAAATATTCTGAACAAACTGTCCCATAGTAAGAAACACTATGGAACAGTTCAGAATATTTTTTTTTTTCTGGGTGTCCTCCTCTAAAAACTAGGTGTGTCTTATGGAGCGAAAAATACGGTAAATCATTGCAGTTTTTACATTTCAGGACTAAGACTTCCAATCAGAGAGCCATTAGAGGCACTTCCTGAATCTTAATGGACTTTTGGTAGCCTAACTGACGCTGGAAGTCCTTACTCTTTGCATGAGGACATTCAGCGCCCGTAAAATCCCCATAAGAATGCATTGAAGCAATGCTTGCCTATGGGGAGGGCCCATGCGCATCAGCCCCCTTCCCCCATAGGGTCACAACGGAGGAGGCGGACCTCCAAGGGATTTTGGTGTTGGAAGCAGGTAAGTGACTAAAAGGTTGTTTTTTTTTCCCCTTATATTTTTAAACCTTTTAGCTGCCGTGTGAGGGGGACGACGACCAGATGGCTCTATATGGTTAATAATACATTATAACACTATAACAATATAAAATGTAAAATGGCGTTGGTATACTGGGTTTTCTTAATTTCCTGAACATTATCTCCTATTAACCATTACATATGCAACTTTTGTTTTGCAGGTGATATAATAAGTCTTGGTGACAGACAGCTCACTGTATTGCATATGCCTGGCCATTCCCGTGGTAGTATATGCCTGCATGACAGAGATCGGAAGATTCTCTTTAGTGGAGATGTGGCATATGATGGATCCATGATCGACTGGCTACCATACAGTAGCATCCCTGACTATGTCCGCTCTTGTGAGCATCTCAAAGAATTGGTGGGCCGAGGTCTTGTGGAGAAGGTCCTTCCAGGGCATTTCAATACATTTGGTAGTGAACGGCTTCACCATTTGGCCTCCAACTATATATCGAATGCTGGAGTTTGTCACAAAGTTTCAACTTGTGCTGTCAGGTCTTTTGCTGGATTAGCTCTTCGGGTAAGCAACTCTAGGAGAACAACTGAGTTGTAATGACATGAACTTAAAAGGAGAAGGATTTGCTATGCAAAAGGCTGAATTAAACCAAATCTAATACACACCCTAATGTGATGTGTTTATGGGGGAAGGAACCTGAGAAAAGGCTGGGTCAGCTTTTGTAATAGGTTTCAGACAAACTTAAGGGGTGGTGCCTGATAAGTGTAATATTTCTGCTGGCAGCTGATATTTTGGGACATTCTATAGAGATTCTCAATAGATGCCCAATCTCTGGATATCTTAGAATCTGAATGGCTCCCAGTTCCGTATTGTTGGATTTTAAAAAGCATATACAGGGAAACCGTAAAAATAAGTGCTTGTGTAGACTGCAGTATGCAGACTGTTCAATCGGCAGTGAGCCCAGTATTTACAATCTAAAGGTTCAATGCTGAAAGTATATTGGGTGGCTTTTGCCTACTTGTACCTCGCATTAAGGCTGATCGCATCTTTCTATATTCAGTTGCATATATTGACTTTGCTCTGGTAGTGGAAAATATTGTTGAACAATTGAAACAAAATAGATTCATAACTCTGAATATATATATTTTAACACATCAGCCTGAAAGACTTAGAACTGCAATGTTTTACATTGCAGCACTAAATGCAAAAGGGACACAGACCACTTTAATTAGCTGAAGTGGTCTGGCTGCCTACAGTGTCCGTTTAATGGTTTAATGGAGATGTACACAACATATGCAGTGTCAAAGCCTGCTTACCCCTGGCTTATAACGATGACTGACAAGAAGCAAAGATGGAGGCACCAAGATTCAGGTTACATTTAAGTTGATTTCTGAACCTAATTTTGTCACACCTCACAATTACATTGGGGATAAGAAAACATACTTTTAAAAGTAAAAATTCCCATTTAAGGTCAAATGTTCCCATTGTGCAGGAGCTCTAAAATGTGTTTTCTCACCCACAATATAATGTAAACTATTGCTAAATATATTTGTAGATAAACATGGAAAAATTGAGTATTTAACATGAATCAAACAGCGTAATATATTTGTGTAGAAACTTATCTGCTGCTCCCTTAAAAAGTATGTTTCTTAAACAAAGCTTGTAGTTGTTTTGTTTTTATTTTCTATGAATAATATTTATCCATGTTTAGTTGTAATTGATTTTGCTTATTTTGTGTGGTTATTCTTTGTATCAAAGAAATATTTATGTAATTTGCATATGGTTTGGAGTTTAAAGGAACACTCTCTATACACAGTCTGCTGTAGTTATGATGTTGCCGTCTCATGGTTAGATCTCAAACTTCTCTCTTACTGGAGAAGACCGAATGTGCCTTAGGCACCCAGTAGGAACTGTGCTGATACGGTTTGACATGTTATCTTGGGACAGAACCAGAGCACTCCCGGGCCTGGCACCATAATCACTATAGTGGGTGGTAGTTATGATGCTTGGCGTGTGCTTTTCAATTAAACTATTTTTAGCAGTGCAAACACACTAGGCGCTATAACTACTACATCTCATTGTTCCTTTAAGCCACTCCTGCCTTGGAGTGACTGACATTAGTTTTGTCAAGTATAATGGCTATTGGCTCTATATATTTCTCTACTATAGCTTATCATAAAATGTGACAACACTACTTATAGTTTTGTTTGACATTCCAAATGATGTTTGGTGCAAGATATTCATCATGAAGTATTTACTTCAATTGGAACCTATTCCAACAACTAAACTTTGATTTTTATCTTCGCCCATGTAGAGGTCATGTGCATTTCAATAACGATAACAAATGTGCATCTACAACTTCAGAGTCCATATCTGTGGGTGGAAATTACATTGTTTGACGCATATACTTAAAATGGCCACAACATGTGTCCAAATCCTGTGTGTGTATTACACTGGGATCCCTTCCTGTGCTTTTATTTTAATCATATTTTTAGAGTATAGCTTCTCCTGCCTAATTCCATTCTGTCATCTTTGCTTACCTTTTATAACAGGAGACAGTATCCTAATCTGCAGCATGCATGTTCCAGATCTGTAGATAAATGCAAATCTTGTCCAAAGTATATATATTGTGCCATTGTCCAGCTCTCCGCATAAGGTATAGCTGCAGTTGCCATCTTTGGTTGTAATGGAAAACGGGCTGGAATAGAATTGATAAAATAACATTCAATTTGACTCCAGACTACTTCTCCAGGTCTTGCTCTCAGCCAATAACATGCTTTCAAACAAACAAAAAAATCTTTAAGAAATAATGGTATGATTTGTGTTCAATGCTTATGAGATGTCTGCTTTTATTGCTTTTATTGCAGATTTAAAAGCTGTAACAATTACAAAGTCAGTTGTGACAGCTTACTTTGCAATTACCTTGCCTTTAGTGAATAACTGGTTAGCTTTTCTTTTCCTGAAGGAAGCTATATGCAGGAAAAGAAGTGAAACAAATGACTACAAATATGTCTAACAAAATGATCACCAAACATTTTGTGTAAAAGAATGTAAATGGAAAAGGTCTGATTCTGTGGGAAATTTGACAGTCCTTAATTTTAAAACGCTGAATTAACAGACATATAAGGGAAACAAATGACATAGTGGCACTTTAATAGACTATGTAATTTCATCTGTATATTGTGCTTGTCAAATTGCTAGTAACTGCATAGATTTAATTTATGCTCAGTTTATTTGTGATATTGTATAACATACCTCTATACCTGCAGCATTGAGTTCAAGAACTAAAATTATGGTGTGCGTTCAGCTGCTCTAAATGGTTTACACAGAAACCCCCCATTTCATTTTGTGGGTTATACTTCCATTATAACGTTTGATTCCATTAGCTGTGATAATGTTTCCAGGGATACACAATATTTAAAGCATTCCAGCAGCACATTCTGAACAAACAATGTTTAGTTCTAAATATTTGTTTCTCAAGGTATTTTGATGCAAAACTAGTTAAATGTTTCACAGGTAACAACATAATGTGCAGTGCATCCCTGTGCGATATTTCCACAGCACTATCAAATTTACTTTACAATTATTTGTTATTTAAATCAACACTCAAAACATCATAGCTACTACAGTACGCTTTAGTAGTTTTGGTACTCTGAGTGTTCCTTTTAAGCGATTTCTGTTATATCAGTTTACTCATAAATGCGGGATAGAGTTGTATGACTTTTGGAAAACTTTATATTCATTGAAATAAATATATATTCTTAATAATACAAAATATGTTGCACTTTGTTGTACTGTAAATGTTATGCTTGCAGCTGATTCTTTTAAATGAGTTAAGAATGTATTTTATACAGATGTAAGAATCAGAGTTGCATTATGTGATGTGCACTAATGTTTCAAAGTATATTTGTAACGCATTCGTGTTTTGCTAAAATACACATGCTAATAAAATAAATATGCTTAATTTTCTGCGTTTGTATGTTATTTTATTTTTATATCAGATGTTTTCACAAATATTTTTGTAAATTAAAGGGGCACTCGAGCACCCACACATTGGGTGCAATTTGATGGTTAGGTTAGTTACTTATGCTGGGTGTCTTAAAAATTTTTTTTTTTTTTTAGTTTTATAAATAGAAAAAAAGGTGAATAGATAAACTACTATACTCAACAAATGGGTATTAAACCTCTGAACTGGAATGACCATAAAAAAAAAAAAAAGGAATAAGGCTATAATTGATCATTTTACCTTGTTAATGCTACCTATACCACAATTAATACCTAATTAGTATTTAAAGACTGATTATTAACTCTATGAATTGGCTAAACGCCCAATATATGGCTATAACCACGGAGCAGATATTCGAATTGCTGGATACTTTCACACATTAGTAGAATTATAAGCAAGCTTTTGACCTTGTAACAATGGCCTCTCTCAATAAGGGTCTAAAACGAAACCATATGAACAGCTGTGCTTAACCCGTTGCAAAACAGTTTGCCCCAATTACAGCAAACGGTAGTGGTTATGATGATGCTTGCCCTCACCTTTGCTAAACAGTCTTACTTTTCCTCTATAGTTAATGCTCCCGCTATTCTAGGCATCTTTTTAATACCTTTAACATTCTTTTTCGCCCTGCTGTGTTAAACCATTAGGGAATGAATTCTCCCCCCTTCACTCCTCTGTATCTCAACCGCATTTGGTCTGTACCATCCTTACCCTCCAAACCTCTCCAGCTACTGAACAGGAGGTGGCTGCGCTTCTCCTTTCCTCTTGTTCCACCGCATGTCCGCTTGATCCCATCCCGTCTCACCTCATCAGATCTTTCGCCCCTTGTCTTGTGCCGTCCTTAATGCACATCTTCAACTGCTATTTTTGTTCTGGTGCTGTCCCTGCTGTCCTTAAAGGGACACTAGGCATCCAGACCACTTCAGCTCATTAAAGTGGTCTGGGTGCAAACTCTCATCACCCTTAACTCTGAGCATGTAATTATTGCAGACAGCTATTAGAGGGACTTCCGTGTGGATAGGCGATATTTGGTCGCTTAATGCTGGACGTCCCACACTATGCATGAGGACTTCCAGCGTCACCGGATTCCCCATAGTAAAGCATTAAATAATACTTTCCAATGGGAAAATCCTAATGCGAGCGCGGCCATGCCACACGTGCATTAGATCTCTTCCGCAGATGTCTGAGGAGCAGGGGTGGAGCTGAGCCAGCGCACCACTCTAACGAATGCTGCAGCCAGACTGACTTTCCCCTACAGTCGCTCCTCTCACACCTCACCCCTCTGTCAGTCCTTACATTGGCTCCCTGTATCCTATGAGTCAATTCAAAGTACTAATCAATATCTATAAAGCACTAAACAATTCTAGCCCCTCATCTTCACAGTATGCCCCTTCTCGGTCTCTCCCCCCATGACCTACTCCTGTGCGTTATTCGCACCCGTACAGCCAACACACGTTTGCAGGACTCCTCGCGGGCAGCTCCCTTCCAGTGTCAAAGCCTGCCTACCACCATCAGACTCTCCCGTAGTCTTCAGTCATTTAAAAAGTGCCTTAAAACCTCTCTTCAGGAAAGCTAATGGCCTCCCAGAGTAACATCTACCTCACATACCTGTCCCTTGCTCTCTCCTAAAAGGCAGCACTCTACTCTTCTCCAGCTATAAAGGGACACTCGAGGCACCACGACCACTTCTGCCCATTGGAGTGGTCTGGGTGCCAACTCCCACTACCCTTAACCCTGGAAGTGTAATTATTGCAGTTTTTATAAACAGCCACAAGAGGGCACTTCTTGATTCATAGCACAGGTTTCCTGTGCTATAGTGTCACTGGACGTCCTCATGCTGTGTGAGGAACTCCAGCGTCGCTAATATCCCCATGTCTCCCCATGGAGAGGTCTAATGTGCTGCTGCCTCTGGTAAGTCACTGAAGGGGTTTTGACCCCTTCAGCAACCAGGGATGGGAGGTGGGAGGGAGGGGGGGCCTGCAGTGCCAGGAAAACGGATTGTTTTCCTGGTACTGGAGAGTCCCTTTAAGTATAGAGGCAATTGTATGAGTTGTGGAAACTAGGATTTGCGCTATATGTCTGTTCAACCATAATTTACCTCTCATGTTAAAGCGGCACTGTCACGCCGAATCCTGTTTTTTTTTTTTTAACCCCGCTCCGGCCTCTACTATCTCTGACACCCTAATCACCCCCAAATGCCCCTAAGATTACCTATTTTTTATTCCTTATTTTATGCCCCGATCTTTATTCAGGGCGCAGCCATCTTTGTGTGGGTAGAAGAAGTCCCTGTGGGACACGTCATCTGCCCACACTAGATAGCAGTGAGATTCCCGCACATGCGAACGGGAATTTCATCTATTCATTCATTCATCAGACGAATGAATGAATAAAAATGTCAGTCGAACAAACTAACACTGCGTATCAGTGTTTGTTTGTTCGTTCGTTCAGTTTATTACAAGGAGGGAGCTACCGGCATGCAGCTCCCTCCTTGTGATATGTAAAGATAGAAGTGGCAGGGAGCAGTGCTCCTCACCACTTCATAAGCCCCCCAGGTCCCTCCTCACTCTATGGGGGTCAATATGACCCCCATAATAGCATAAGGGAGATTAAAATCTCCCCAATGCCCCTACTCGCTATACCGCAAGTAGGGTCATGTCCACTAAACAGTGAACAGCCTGTGGCTGCTTACTGTAAAAAAAAACCCCCAAAAAACCTATTGGCCCCCACCCCTAAACAACGGGTGGGGGCCCTAAAGTAAAATAAGGGGGGAGACCTATTGTCCCCCCCGGCCACCACCCCTGCGCGGCGAGTGGGGGCCATAAAGATAATGAAGGGGGGGACCTACTGTCCTCCCCCCCCCCCAGCTCTGGCGGAGTGTGGGGGCCATAAGTCAATTCCCCCTCAAGCTGACTAGGGGTCCCCAAGCCCCTAGTCACCCACCCCCCCACCCAAATAAAAAGTCCATAACTACCCCCCTCACCCTAAAAAATAGTGAGGGGGGAATAAAATTAAACTTACCATTCAACGTCTTCTTTTTTCTCAAATCTTCATTTTCCAGCCAAAAAAGGCCAAATAAAAAACCATCATAACCGAACCGAAAATTCCCGAGCGCAAAAAAAAAAAAAACCCAGACGAAAAAGAAAAAGCCAGAGCGCAAAAAAATAATCCATCTTCACCCATCATTATCTTTATGGCGCCCACCCGCCGCCCAGGGGTGGGGGCTGGAGGGGGTGGTGAACAGTCAGTATCATTTGGCCCCCACCCACTGCCCAGGGGTGATTTGCATAGTGTGCCAGGCTGTGCTAGGACTGCCCATCTATCAATATACAGTGATAATAAACAGTAAAATAGTGATTTGCATAGTGTGCCAGGCTGCCCATCTATCAATATACAGTGATAATAAGAAACAGTAAAATAGTGATTGCATAGTGTGCCAGGACTGCCCATCTATCAATATACAGTGATAAAAAAAACAGTAAAATAGTGATTTGCATAGTGTGCCAGGCTGCCCATCTATCAATATACAGTGATAAAAAAAAACCAGTAACAGTGATTTGCATAGTGTGCCAGGGCTGCCCATCTATCAATATACAGTGATAATAAGATACAGTAAGATAGTGATTTGCATAGTGTGCCAGGGCTGCCCATCTATCAATATACAGTGATAATAAGAAACAGTAAGATAGTGATTAGCATAGTGTGCCAGGCTGTGCCCATCTATCAATATACAGTGATAATAAGAAACAGTAAGATAGTGATTAGCATAGTGTGCCAGGGCTGCCCATCTATCAGTATACAGTGATAATAAGATACAGTAAGATAGTGATTAGCATAGTGTGCCAGGCTGTGCCCATCTATCAATATACAGTGATAAGATACAGTAAGATAGTGATTAGCATAGTGTGCCAGGCTGTGCCCATCTATCAATATACAGTGATAATAAGATACAGTAAGATAGTGATTAGCATAGTGTGCCAGGCTGTGCCCATCTCTCAGTATACAGTGATAATAAGATACAGTAAGATAGTGATTAGCATTGTGTGCCAGGCTGTGCCCATCTCTCAGTATACAGTGATAATAAGAAACAGTAAGATAGTGATTAGCATAGTGTGCCAGGGCTGCCCATCTATCAGTATACAGTGATAATAAGATACAGTAAGATAGTGATTAGCATAGTGTGCCAGGCTGTGCCCATCTCTCAGTATACAGTGATAATAAGATACAGTAAGATAGTGATTAGCATAGTGTGCCAGGCTGTGCCCATCTCTCAATATACAGTGATAATAAGAAACAGTAAGATAGTGATTAGCATAGTTTGCCAGGGCTGCCCATCTATCAATATACAGTGATAATAAGAAACAGTAAGATAGTGATTTGCATAGTGTGCCAGGCTGTGCCCATCTATCAGTATACAGTGATAATAAGATACAGTAAGATAGTGATTAGCATAGTGTGCCAGGCTGTGCCCATCTCTCAATATACAGTGATAATAAGAAACAGTAAGATAGTGATTAGCATAGTGTGCCAGGGCTGCCCATCTCTCAATATACAGTGATAATAAGATACAGTAAGATAGTGATTAGCATAGTGTGCCAGGCTGTGCCCATCTATCAATACACAGTGATAATAAGATACAGTAAGATAGTGATTAGCATAGTGTGCCAGGCTGTGCCCATCTATCAGTATACAGTGATAATAAGAAACAGTAAGATAGTGATTAGCATAGTGTGCCAGGCTGTGCCCATCTCTCAGTATACAGTGATAATAAGATACAGTAAGATAGTGATTAGCATAGTGTGCCAGGCTGTGCCCATCTCTCAATATACAGTGATAATAAGAAACAGTAAGATAGTGATTAGCATAGTGTGCCAGGGCTGCCCATCTCTCAATATACAGTGATAATAAGAAACAGTAAGATAGTGATTAGCATAGTTTGCCAGGGCTGCCCATCTATCAATATACAGTGATAATAAGAAACAGTAAGATAGTGATTTGCATAGTGTGCCAGGCTGTGCCCATCTCTCAGTATACAGTGATAATAAGATACAGTAAGATAGTGATTAGCATAGTGTGCCAGGCTGTGCCCATCTCTCAGTATACAGTGATAATAAGATACAGTAAGATAGTTCTTAGCATAGTGTGCCAGGGCTGCCCATCTCTCAGTATACAGTAATAAGATTGTGGTGGAATCTCGGTAAAAATAAATTTAGTGGGCCGAGATTACCACGTGGCATGTGTACGTGCATATGCTGACGTATCGATCAGTTGGTTGCACGAGGCAAGATACGATCAGTAGTGTACGGAGCATGTGCAAGAATACAGGATGTAGTATTCCCCTCCTCCATTGTGCTGGACAAGCCATGCGGTCAAGCAGGAAGTTAATTCTTATTTGTAATGATTGGTCAAGAGAATGTGCGGGTGGAGCTTAATATGGGAGGAGTTATGTGCCTATATAGGGAGCCTGCACTATTGTTCAGGGCTCAGAACTTGCTGTATTTTTGGTGACATTAGTCCCTCTGAGTCCCGATCGGTGATCCAATAAAGAATCTCTTCCTTCCTGAAGAAACCTGTGTCCATCCCTCTGTGCTTTGCTTCCGTCAGTTTCTCCGGTATCATTTGGTGCATTGGCCGGGAAGCTCATCGTTCAACGGTAGCTGAGAGGCAGAGGCGTGAGACGGTCTATCTTTGCCCACGTTCTCTACGGCTGCACCCCTGAACTTCTGCGTGGACCTCCCTTCGTCTCGGCGCCACTGGTCTGTTGTCCAGGAGATCATCGGCCTCTACGTAAGAAGTGCTGGGGTGTCCCCGTCGATGAGTGTGAACTCAGGTTCAGGAACGAGGAGGTAAGACAACTGCTGTTTTAGACGGCAGACCCACTAGGGGTATACCGATTGTGCGGTAGGCCCAAAAGGGGTTTAAATCTGTGTATGGAATCTGCCCCCTCTGTCGGAGGGAAGGAGCGAAGGCGCACCGCTCGATCGAACGCTCTTTAGTAAGACCGTTTGATCTGGTTAGTCAGGCGGGGTCCTGTGTAAATAGCCCTAGCCGGACACCGGTGTCTTGTCTAGACTAGCGTTCTAGGGTGTATATTACGTTCGCTAGGTCGGAGGGACCGGGAGACTAAGCGGCGCCTGTGTAAATTCGGTTCGCTAGCTCTCAACCTATCTTGGCTAAGTGGGAAGGCGTGTAAATTTGGAACCCACTAGACTTTTGATAGAGTAAATAGACTAGAAGGGCAACTTTGTAAATTCCGCCCTCTAGTTCGCTATATGTGGTGCTTGGGCAGTGTGGCTAACCAAAACGGGTGTATATAGTTTTAGGTAGTCCATTCAAGGTACTGGCCAATAGTTTAGTTGGGATTGTAAATGTGTTAAAGATTGTTAGTAAAGTGTATATCTTGTTAGATAGCGCGAGCTCAGCCGTCTAGCGAGAGTGTTAATAGTGTGTTGTTGTATCATAGTGCACGGTACCATAACCCTGTATATTTACTGACACTGTATATAAGTACTAATCATTGTCGTTTATTGCATGTTTAACACCGTAACCACTAATAATTGTATTGTGACCTTAAATTGTGCTTTGACCTATGCTAACCGTACTGTAACCGATACTAGTAAAAGACGATGTTACTGGGGTGTGTTATAGACGGGTAATTCATATATAGAGAATTATAGCGTGGGTGACTGTATAGTTTCGCCAAAGGGCATAATATTGATTATTTAGTGACTGGTGTAACAGCTGTGTGTGTACGGGAATTCCCTGAGTGATTATTGTGTTATTGTGTACGTTTCACTCGGTAACTGTACCACGTGGTGCTGTTGCCAGAGGAAACGGGTGTGACTGTTGAATAAGAACGCGTGCATAGTATTCGTTGTCAACGACGTTCCATTGATAAGTATGGGCGCGTCAGAGTCAACGATTTCGGATCCCTTAGGTTGTATGGTAAAGAATTTTAAAAAGGGATTCAAAACATGTGATTTTGGGGTTAAAATGTCTCCTGTACGTTTGGTCACTTTGTGCACTAGGGAGTGGCCTACTTTGGTTGCGGCATGGCCGCCGCGTGGCAGTTTGGATCCAACCCTGGTACAGCGTGTACACGTGGCTGTATCAGGTAGGCCTGAACTTTACGGACAGTTTCCATACATTGATTGTTGGAGGCAGGCCGTAAACGACTCGCCAAAATGGATCCGGATATGCCACGAGGAGCAATGTCGCCTCATGGTGGCCAGGACTTGTTTGTCCACTAGGACTGGTGTTAGGCCCATTTTGGACACGCCCCCTGAGTCCGAGATCCCTTTGCCGCCCCCTTACTTTCCTTTAAGAGGAAGTGACGCGAATGCAGGAAGTTCTGCACCCCTTCCCCTATTGCCCCATCCACTTCCGCTTCCTCCTCCAGTACAGAATCCACCCCACCTCGTATTAAAACTCCCCTTCCGGAACCAGGACCAACCCCCATTAGATCTGAATATCCTGATTTGGCGCCACTTCAAACTTCCGGTCAAGCTTCTTCTAGCTCGGCTCGGAGTATACTATTCACTGACTTTTCCCAAAATCAAGTTCCCACATCCTCATGCCCTATTACCTCTCGACCGGAACCTTTAACTGACGCCCCTCCACGTAGCCCCATACTAACCCGACAACTGACCGGTACCCAACAATTAAAACATTATCAGATGCCTCTTCGTCTGAATCCTGGGTCAGCCTATATCGATGCCGCAGGTCAAATGGCACATGCTGACCCAGTCTTCGTATATGTCCCGTTCACGACTACCGATCTCTTGAATTGGAAGACCCACAATTCCTCGTACACTGAGAAACCACAAGCTATGACCGATCTGTTCACCTCGATAGTTCAGACACATAACCCGACATGGGCTGATTGCCAGCAGTTATTAATGACATTGTTCAATAATGAGGAAAGGACAAGGATTAACCAAGCAGCCATTAAGGCGCTAGAGGAGAGAGCCCGTGCTTTAAATCAAGCCAATCCGGCAGCATGGGCCGCAACACATTACCCTAACACCGATCCTGACTGGAATGTAAATGGCGCAGATATGGCTCAACTTAAAGCCTATAGAGATGCTATAATTGCTGGCATGAAAGCCGGAGGGAAGAAAGCTATTAACATGTCGAAGACAGTTGAGGTGATTCAGAAAAGTGATGAAGCGCCCAGTGTCTTTTATGACCGATTATTGGAGGCATACCGCTTGTATACCCCCTTTAATCCGGAAGACGCTGATAATTCCCGAATGGTAAACTCCGCCTTTGTCAGCCAAGCTTACGGAGATATTAAGCGCAAGCTACAGAAATTAGAAGGGTTTGCAGGTATGTCTATCACCCAACTAATGGAGGTAGCGAACAAAGTATATATGAATAGGGAAACAGAAAGTAAGA